CTGTTTCCTATCATTTAAGACTTGAATGATAGTGATAAATGTTCGATTTTTGTCCAAAATCTGAGTAAAATTTGGTAGAAAAACTTAAATAACAAGCAGCAGAAGAAATTTCGTGGGTAAACATTCCAAAATCTTTTTAATTGGCCCTACCCTCCTTCCCTAATAATACTTGCTCCTCCTGCAGTCCACTAGGAAGTTTCGCAACCAATTGCATTAGGAGTACTGGATTCTCCATGGGGTTGTTTCCTTCTATCTGCTCAAAAATGGCTATGAGGTTGTTGACATACTAATTCAACATTACTCGGGTGCAATAACAGGCTTCTGACTGCTTCTAACCCTTGATATTTCAAACATTTCTGTAACCTCATCATTATTTCATCATCAGAATAAAGGTATATACAAACTTTTCTATCATATTGATTTTTGAACATACGCCAATCTTCTGGCTTACTTTATCCACAGTCTGTTTAGTCATTACTTCTTGAGAAATAGCTTTATCTTGGGATACTAATACACTTTATAGCATCTGCAATTACATCACATAATTTATGTATGTTACCTGGATCTTCTGAATCGTCATCATATGTATTCGAAGGATACCTACTCACATTTGCCATTCCAGTTTTGTACTTGAATATTCCTCATTTTACTTAATGTACTTATATATCTTCTTCAATTTCACGCTCAGTATTTACGAAAGTCAGTTTTCCTCCAACTCAGCTTTTGCTAACTTCTGTTTCAAGTGCCAAACGTTTCTTCTCTATTTCAGTTCTTGTTGAAGATTTTTTGGACACGCTCGATTCTTTCTTCGAACTCTTGGAAAGACCTGATTTTCTTGATGTGCATGTCTTTTTCAATTAACTTCGTCAAGATATCTCCACGACTAAAGTGCGATACTTCTTGATTCTACTTAATCTGGTACAACCATATAAAAACATCATCACGCCTGAGGATTGATTATACTGGCGTTGATTATTTTAGACCACCTGACTTTTTCGGAAAATTCTTTCAAAATTCATTATTAGACTCTGCAATATCCAATTTTTAATGTTTACTATTTTTTCTTCAAAATGAAACTACAATTTTGGGTACTTTTTTAATAATTCAGACATAATCTGACTTATCCAACTTCTTTAAATAGTTCATCACTATACATACAGGATTGGCTCAGTCCAAGACGTTTATTCACCCTTCGAAGCTTGATACCAAACAGTTGTTGGACTATAGTAGGGATGAACTAAGATGTCTAACAGGCCTTCTCACAGGTCACTGTCATTTGAATCATCATATGCAGAGACCCGGGCTGTCGGAAGACTGTGTGTGTCGTCTCTGTTTGGAAAATGATGAAATAGCAGAGCACATACTTTGTGCCTGCCCCGCTAGGGACCGAATCGGGTAAGTGTTTATTTCAATCCTCCAACAAACAGGAGAGTGAAATGCCACAATCAAAACAAACTCTACATAAGGTACAAGCTGTGAATTACACCAAAACTGATACCACAAATTTAACCCTAAGGTTAAAAATTAGTTTATTCTAAACTGCCTATTTCATGGGTTCTTCAAACCTTTTATACAATGACTTACGCAAAATCTCTTTCCCTTACAATCTGGGAGAGAACGGAAAAAGGCAAGTTTGGAATTAAACAACATGACTACGATATATCGGGAGTCTGATAGTAAATCAGAAATCGACGATTGGAAATTCGTTAGCTTCTATCGTACATAAAAACTAATCCAACCTACAGGTGAAATAATTAGTCTAGGAAAATTATTCAAAATTTCAGAAAATTAATAACAAATTTTAAAGAATATATTATAAACACGGTAGTTTTCAATTCACATATACTATTGCATTCAATAGGCTTAGTTAGGGCAAATTTGAATTGTTACAGTGTGACGAATTCGCTCCTCATTACCATGATTATTACTGTTGGTAATTTCGTCCTACCTTCAACGTTCCCACAAGAAAAAACCAGTTCTTTTGTGTTACAAACTGTGTAACAAGAAGGAACTAGACATTAGGCCACATCAAGAAAGATCTTCAGCAAAATGGTTATTCCAACAAGCTCATGGAGCAGATTTTGGCTAGAAGACAACTCTGCAAGAAAGGGAGGCTGCTCCAACCAGTGCTATCCCTTCCTTACTGGAAAAGATAATAATTGGGTCTAGGTACAACATTAGAACCTAGTTCAGTTCTGGGAACACCATCCGTAGCAGCCTCTCAAAAACCAAGACACCAACTGCAGACTACGATTCCAAAAATTGCATTTACTGGATACCATGTGAGCGTGGAAAATCCTATATTGGTAAAACTAAGAGGTCCATATTGGCGAGCGCTAGAAAAACAGCCAGAGAAAAGAAACCAGCAAATCAAGAAGAGCAAAGTATGTTTGGACCCATCAACATAACATCAAGTGGTCCAAAATTGAGATCATCCACAGGAAGGAACACAGGTTTAAGAGGAAACTCACAAAGTTGCGTACATATTGACAAATGACGCAATAAGCCAGGCTAGTGTGAAGATAATCAGGCGGGGAAAACAGTCTACGATGCACTGTACCAGAAAACGGGGGGTAGGCTGGGAAGAGATAATGTGCTTCCTGAGAAATTACAGTGGTGTTTGTATGCTACAATTTCAGGATACATTTGTCAGTGTACACGTTTGATATAGTAGTTCATCTTTTGAAATTCATTTTTGTACTTGAATCAATCCAAAACTAGCACTTTTCCGAATTACCAGAAATGCAATATTCCTCTGGACACGCGATTCACCAACCAACTTGGTTGAAAGTAGTTTATTTTGTCCATCATTTATTCTGTAGTCAACTAAAAACTATTCTTTCTTTCACAGCATTTTTTGTGCCACCAAAAATTTACTTTAGAATCTGGAATTAAAATGGCAAACCATTTTCAACATTTTTCTTTTTCAGTTAATACAAAATAAAACAAAAAATATATTGGTATTCAAAATATTGTATAATTTGGATAATAATTTAAAAAGAATTCAGCCACAAAGGTACTTATAACATCAAATGGAAATAATATATATAATTTCACTAATGCAAATAATCAATCAAAACTTCTCTATTAGTGTTTGGAAAGTGAAAATTATCCATACAAACAAAATGAATAATTCAAACGAATAATTTTAATTTAAAACTCGCAATTGACCAAACAATTCAAAACTGAAATGCAAACCGAACAAAATATTATACAAAAAAATATGTGATTTCATGAAAAAAATACACATATAACCACATATACTTGTAGCTCTAGACAATATTATTCCTAATGAATAACTTTTCCCATATATCGTAACTTAATCAGTACTTCAAATATCAAAAACTTGATATTTTCAAATGAAACACCCAGTACGTCATTCTACCATTTTGAAGAACTACTTTATTCCCAAAATTTTTGTTAATATGACTTAGCCTCTAAAATTGACAGATTTTGTGAAATTTGCAATTCCATTCAATGATCGATAAATTTTAGCATAAAACAAAAACTAATGTCATACATACATAATTTCCATTATTCTTCATCAGATAACCCCCATTTCTTTCGAATCATCAGTTAGACTAGGTGGTCCCTAAACGTATGAAGTGAAATAATTTGAAATTTCATAGTTGGGCCATATTGCTTTGAGGGATGAGTTAATGGCTTGATTTACTTTGATTTTTTTGTAAAACCAGTTACTACAATTAAGAAATTATTTACCCTTTCGAATCAAACAAAGAATATGGTATTTACACGACAGAGCACCTGTTTACCACACTGTTCTTGTTAATATTTATTTAGACAATGCATATCCCTGAAGATGGATCGGTAGAGGAAGCCCTTTCAAGTGGCCACCTCGCTCACCAGATTTGACAAAAATGGATTTTACATGTGGGGCTACGTTAAAGATCAAGTTTTTAGAACACCCCCATCTACGAAGGTGGATATGAAAAATGAAGGACGTATTCCAAAATATTCCAGTTAGCATGCTGAGGCGAGTTAATGAAGAATTTAAAAACCGAATTCATTATTGTTTAGAAGTAGCCGGTAGTCACTTTGAAAATTATTATTAATTTCTAATATTCTTTTTTGAGTGTTTCAATTATTTACTCTCTAGAATTAAAAAATGAAAAAAAGTTTTTTCCGTTTACCAACTGTCGTTCCCTTATGAACGGGCAGCCCTCAGAAGTCGGAATATGTGCGAGTTAAGGATTAACGAGGTCTTACGTTAAAACGTGCGATTCCTAGCACTTTCCCTGAGACAAAATATTCTGCAGGTACCTGGTCCTGAATACTTCAACGAAAACATGTTTTCCAGACTCTCCCCAACCAAGTTTTAAGTTTGAAGTTGCCATTATGTTAAATTCCAGTATCAGTTTCTAAGTGTCGAAATCCTAACTGGCCTATACGTAAATAAAAAAATTTTGACCAATTGAAAATTTCTTAAAAAGTGTCAGTTTCAGAGACTATTTCATCTTATCCAAATTTTTAATTCAGTCAGTTGAGTAGTTTTTTTATAATAATACCCATATTAACTTCAATCCCAAAATTCATTCTATTCTGCTGAATTATTTACAAACATTCTAACATTAAGCCACACATTCACTATTGTGAATCACGGAAAATACCAATGATGTTGAACATTTTGAAAAATTGAAAATTAGGAAAGAGTAAGATTGTCAACAATTATATAATTATAAAATAGAAAGAGTTACCAAGCTTGGTAGCGATAGTGTTGTGTTCACTAAAAATGTCACCACACTTTTATACTGGCATCAGAACCAATCAAAACACAAAAACCTATGCACCATTCATAATACAAAGGTTAACAATCCAATCAGTGATTAGTCAGCTAGATAATTACAAATAACATGTAACTAGCTTTATCTATAAATTCTGGAAATTAACAGAATCAATGCTAGGATAGTCTTTCTTCTTTGCATGCTCTTCGTGATGAACACTTTTAGCCAGACTCAATTATATCAATAACAACTCAATACTTAAATCTATCGAATATTATATATTGAACTTTGAAGTAACAGTGGGTAGTTCAATAGTAATTGTTCACAAATTAATAAAATGGTCATTTTTATTACATTTGTAATCCTTAGATGAAGATCTAAATTTCAATTAGAAAAATCGAAAACTAGTAAAAATCTAAAACTAGTATTATCACAAAAATAAATCAGACCTAAATGATAGGTATTTCAAACCAAATAAAACTTTGTACGTCCTATGGAAATGGTTACTTTATGGCATTGGCACAGTTACCAAGTTTCAAATCCAAACAACCAATCATATCAACAGCCTAACAACAATACACACTAGTGCTAAGCTAAACCACAAATGCATTGTTGGATTAGTTAGTCCTTAAAGAACAAGCCAGTAGAAGAAAGCATTTGTTAACTAATTGCCTTACCTTGAAAGCTTAAGAAGAAGACATAAGTAAGACGAATCTCTTTCAGCAGTTAATCTCGAAGCTTGGCTTTGCAATGGAGCCTCGTTTACCTTTGCTAATAGTGATTCGAGTCATCTATTGATCTCACAGATGACGCCTTCATGAACATCATGGTCATGCTTACTTCTACCTGCTTCTGTTATTACAATATGAGGTCTAATTCATTCACCAGATAGTCCAACTTCTAGAAACATTATTTTGTCAAAGTATTTAAATAAATTAAATAATTAATGACTATAGATAAAACTAAGGGATTTGGAAATATGATTTTGTGCGATTTGGAATTTTTTTCAGAAAAATATAAAGACTATCAAGATCTATATATCTCAAATGCAAAATCAAGAATATTCCTCATTTGGTAACTGGATGTATTTGGTAGTCTCATTCTCCTTTCGAGTCTTTTTGAGACTCATGATTATTCCAATAGCTAAGAAAATCACAGTCAAAATAGAACATAACAAAATGATGTTCCATTCAAAATTCAATGGCCAGCTGTTTGGTGTCTTGAGTTTGCACTCGATTTCCCAGTCTTCCAAATTGATAATTATAGGTTTCAAAATTGTAGAGAAATCAACGAGATCACAATTGAAATCGCAGTGCTTGAGAGTGATTTGCCTTGGTTCACTGGTATTTTTATAAAAAAGATTCACATAACTTCTACCATTGCTACGTTTCCTCATTTCCATCATAATAGTCGAAGCAAAAGGAGGGGTATGGTATTCAAAAGCACCCATAGTGTTGAGTACATTAGCAATTGTGGTATCGTGTGCAGAAAAAACTAAAAACTTAGGAGTTTCTGTAGATTCTGCAGTGCGATTTTTGAAAAATTTAACGATATGGTTAAAAAGTGGACCTGTTTTCAGTCGGGCCAATTCTGGAGTAAATGTTTCCGTAGCAAAACTCAAAGATGCCCATGGGTAAAGTTTGATCGGGAACACTTTTATTGCCCAGCTTGGCAGCGTATAATTATTCAATGTTTCAATTAAAAGGGTACTGTAAAGATATTCAATACTTTTCAAGTCTGAAACTGTTTGCCCAGAGTATCTGGTTAAATATGCATAGAGGTCATGATTCTGATGGGAAATATTCCGAAAATAGTCAGATTTGAACAGTTGTTTCAGTAATCTATCATACTTCGGACAAGGTTTTTTGGCTGCCAGTAAAATATCCTCTTGTTGAGGTTGGGTATGAACAGGAATAGGTTGCCATTTTATTACTTCATCCCAAACTTGATTGCCAAAAGGTGGGTAGAGACCTGCTAGATTTGCTTCTGCAGACATCAGAGTTCGATCAACGTCTGTGGATCGAATGAATATATCATTTTCAGAATAAATCGAAGGAAGGAATCCATCATAACGGTTCCGCAGCCATTTGCCCAAGTCAAGATGTCGATGTTTTCCTTTCTGAAAATAAAAATTTGGATAACATTGCAAAATGATGACAGCATTACAGAGCAATACAAATAGTTCAGTTTAGCATCATATTAAACCTTTATTCTCTTGAGATACAAATCTGCAGGTAGAATATTATTTGTGTTACCCATTACATATAAATACAATAATTATTCAATCTATTGAACTAAAAAAAAACTACAAATGAGGTAGAAACAACATGTACCGGAAGGGTACTGTTGATCTTAGTTCTAGCCTTGAAAAAAAAACTAAACTAGACAAAAATTGCAATGTTTGTGATAATGAAATGAAACTACTGTTTACAGTAGTTTTTCAGGAGTTACCTAACTTTCATGTACACATACACATTTATAACTTGAACACATTTGAAGGTGATTGACAATGTTTCACGATGAATTTCATTAGTTCGAACTTCCATTGTCTGGTATTATATAAAATGATTTGAAACCCCTGAAAGAACTAATGAAAAAAGAAGAATTAAAAATGAATAGCTGAAAATAACAATTATATCAAGCAAAAAAACCTGAAATGAAATAATAGTGAAATAAAATAAAAGTAAAAATAGAACAATTGAACAAAAAACAAAAGTTAAGAGATTCCAAGCCAAGTTACTTCACGACGTTTCGATTTTTAGTATCTACAATCGTCTTCGGGTGATGACTGGACTAATTCCTCTGAGAGATGACTAATGAATCATTCGAGTTCTTTCACTTATCTCCACTTTCCTTTTTCCGCTTCACCGGTTTAGTTGGAGATGACTGTTTGGCGGGAGCTGGCCATTTTTCGCTTGATTATTGGTTTCCATATGTTGTGTATCTCTATGCTAGCTTGGCTGAATACATTGTTGGACAACATGTATGAGGCTTCCCCCCTGTGTATGATCTCAGCTTGGGACCACTCGATGTTATATTGATGGGTTCAAACATGCTCTGCTATTCCTAATTTGCTGGTTTTCCCTTGCTGTATGTTTCTTGTGCTCGGCAATGCGAACATTCAATGGCCTCTTAATTTCACCGATATAGGATTTTCCACACTCACAGGATATCCGGTAAATGAATTCTTGGAATCATAGTCCACGTCTGGTGGACTTCCTGCTCCATTGTGACAGTGATGGAAGGTCTTACGCTGTTGATGTGTTTCAGGAAGCCGTCTAGTTCAGTATAATAGCAGAACAATGGAAGTTCGAACTAATGAAATCCACCAGATATTATAGTTGGGTTTCCACACTGTTATTTCTGTTTATGTCCTTTTCACAAGCCAAGAAGTGCTGACTTTAAATCAAATAACATTCTCTATTGTTCTATATTTTATTGAGAAAGGATTTCACTTATTCCTATAGGAACATAAACGTTTGTTAAGTGAAGTTATCATCATTTTTATGTTGAATATGAGATCATAGACATAACAGAAAGAACTAAAGCTTTGCTTCACGAATTTATTATGAAATCAATATTATGATGATAATAATTACATAGTTTTCAAAAATATTTCGATTTCTCGACTAACACAGAAGCTTCTTTGGCAGAAAATTGTGTATTTATTATCATGGATAGTGTTATTGATTTCAATCAAGTAACAGGTCAGTCCATTCATGAAATCAATATGATGATTGAAGTTCACAAAATGAAAGTGTATACCCAGATCTTTTATTAAATGAACTCTGTTAATCACTATGTTATCGGGAGTGTACTGGAAAATTATTGGAATGTTAATTCTGTAATGTGAAATACAACCACATTTGTTTATATCAAGTTTTAACTTGCTACACGGTTGCACTATTCTAAGAATATCTTTAGGTCTTCCTCAATTCCCAAAGTCCCTTTCCTAAAAAACTTCAGGTTCATAGAATGAATAAATATTTAAACCAAATTTCCAAGTCATTTATGAAAACCAAAAACAACAATGGAACCAAGTGTGACCCCCGTGGAATACCAGAGGTTATTACAAAAGGTGCAGATTTATTTCCGCTTATGTTCACAATTTTACCATGGTTGAAATGATAGGACGATAGTCATCGCAAAAGGTATACCGTTCTCAGTAAGTTTTGAAATAAGCAAATTGTTATCAACTTTGTCAAAAGCTTTAGGAAAGTTATCCAATGCAGAGATGTTTTCAGAGTATATTACCAGGTTCATTTCAGTCCCTCGTTTTGAAAAAAAAAACCAAGTTGACATTTTATAATTGATAACATAAAAGAATAAAATTATAAATATGTAATTCATTATGGTTTTATATATGCCTCTACTTAAAAATTTAGACGTCACTAGGTAGAGATCATTTCAGAAGATAATAGGAATTGAAATATTCCCACTCACCTTTGTTAGCTGTCCAAAACCAACCGGCCAATAGGATGCATTTTTGTAGGGGTCTGTAGGGTAGGGTTGGATAGGAGTCCTGTCTCCATGTCTGTATATCTATAAAAAATTTGGATTTTTTTCTAAAATTATTTTATTAGGTACTTAATGGGTACTTACCACAACAACAGCTTTCAGTTCATCTTGAGCAGCATTAACTTCAAAATAAGCTAATCCAACACAAAACCACAATAAAGGAAACATTATTTTTTGTTAATGTATTTCAAGAGTTGGATTTTTTTGAATTAAGTTTTACTACTAGATCACAGTGGGACTTAAATTTCGGTTATGTAATAATAATATTATATTCTCCACTCGAACATATGGCACAAACTTCTTTATTCTTATGCTGCTACTTTCTTAGAGGTATCAGTAAACCTCAAAATGAAGTAATATCGACAAACACCAACAATCAGCAATATTGTCAGCGAATCGGCAATTCACATTCATAATACAGGTGTTTTCTTTTACTGCGCATGTTTAGGACAGTGGCGTGGATAGTATAAACTGTACTCTGTGGCCATTTCGTGCACAATGAGAAAATGTATCCTCATAGCATTGACAAGGCCTGCCAGGGCCGTCGCCATGAGGGGGTGGGTGGGGGGAGCCTCCCCCTATGCTTTTTCGACTTGGGAAAAAGTTGAGAAATTTAGGGCCGTGAAGGTAGAAAAAAAAACAGTAAAGAAATGAAAAAATTAAAATGAGAGAAAAGAAAAGGAGAGGTAAAAAAAAAAGAAAGAACCGGGAGAAGGTTGGGATTTCCGAACATGCATAACTTGGAGATCCCATACTTTGAAATTCTGAGTTGTTTGAAAACTTCAAAAAAGTTTAATTTCTCCCAAGTAAGAGAATAGTCCTGATCAGTACACAAATTTTTGACGATCACTTTCAATTCGCTCGTATCGTTTGGTACACATTTGAATGAAATGGCCATAAAATTTACATAGTGTCCAACCACGGTATTGTGAACTGGCCACCGAGATCGTGCGATTTGACCCTGTTAGACTTTTTGCGCTCCTCGCAGAGAAGTCGTAAAGAACATTTGAACTTTGAACGCCGTTATACTCCACAAATAATGGCATTGTTGGGTTTAGTTGAATTTTCCCTACACTGTATAATTTATATTACCAGGTATACAAAAATATAAAATGTTGTCAAATAAAAGTCTTCGAGATTAATTAAAGTCATAGTTATTTTTGCCCAGAAAGTAACGATTTTCCATCGAAACAGAACATTTGACGACCGTGACAGGATACAATAATGATGGAAAACCTCAAGAGAGAAAGGGAGCAGTTACGAAGACTTTTCATCAAAACCACCAATGACCTAGATGTAGCATTAACGAAGCCAGTAAACAGAAAATAGCTGCTAGCGACTCTAAGACGACTAGAAGACAAAGCTGACAGAATATTCGCACTGGATGAGCTAATCAGAGAAAAAATATATTCGAGCAATCCTACCGAAGAAGAGCTATCACAAGAGTTTGACCGAATTGAATTCTTCAGAGACGGAATCATAAACTACCGAACAGAACAGATATACGATGTTGTAATCGAAGCGGCGACACAAGGGGACCAGAAAAGTGTTTCCAACAAGTTCACTGGAGACACCAGAAGAACATTTCGACTTTCCCAACTTGAATTGAACAAGTTTGATGGCAACGTAAAAAACTTGATTGGTTTCTGGGGATAGTTCCGCAAAATCCATGAGGAACAAATATATCTAGATGATAAATTTCAATAGGTACCTACTGCAGGCAACAGAACCAGATACTGCGGCCAGAGAATTAATCGCTATTGACCTATATTGAGCTATATTAAAAGCTATTGACCAATTGAAAGCACGTTTTGCCAGGGATGAATTTCTGATAGAGGTTTATGTGAGAGAATTGCTGGATTCTGTTCTTAAAAAAGTAACTAATGTCGGGTATGACTTTGTCCTTTTTGTATGATACGTTGCAAACTCAACTGAGAGCATTGGAAACTCTTGTAGTGACCAGCGATAACTAGGTATGCCGCCATGCTCTTCCCGTTAGTTGAATCTGCGTTACCAGCTGAATTTTTAAAACCTTGGGAGAGATACCACAATGTGAATGCAATAACTACAGTTACCACATGCAAGGAGGGTGAAAAAAATAAAGGTAAAAGATTTTTAAAAAGAGAAATTGAATCTGAGGAGAGAATAAATCTTTCACAAAACAAGCTTCGGTATAGAAAGAGGCATAACAAGAAATCCGAAAGCTTTGGACAGATTAAAAACGTAAAAGCAAGATAAATCAGAAATATATACTGCATCAGCACTTTATTCAGCGAGTAAGAATAAAAAAGAACGAGGTGAGAGTATTTCCATTTGTTTTATTTTGTGATAAGTTGCATGCAAGTCAGGAGTGTTTCAAAGTTCAAAATCTTACACTTGAAGAAAGGAAAGCAAAATTATTAGCAAAAAAGGCTTGTTTCGACTGTATGAAAATCAACCACAGAAGCCGAAACTGTAAATCTTTCACGAGGTGTTTGATTTGTACAAACATTTTCTAATTTTGTGCCCTAACTTGTCTGTAAAAAGCGATTCCAAGACTGATGAACTTGTTAATAAAAAGGTTGAGCATATTCTGCGTACCGATACACTGTTGCAAACATTTTAGTTAGATTCGTGAATAATTGCAAAGAAAAGATTGTACGAGCTTTATAAGATTCAGCGTTACCTATATATTGTCAAAAATCTGTGACACAATTGAGATATGTAAAATCTCGTGACGAAAGTATTATACAGAATGTGTTCGGAGGTGTACAGTCAACTCCAAAATTACAAGGATTATTCGATATAACTGTAAAAAACCTTGAGAGGGACTTCCCCATCAATTTATCGGTTATCGCACAGAAAACAATTTGCAGTTTCATACCGCGTTTGGAAGATTTCTCGTATATCCAATATCTTGAAACAAAAGACTATTATTTTAAATGAAGTAAATGTGGAAAATACTCCTCGAGATGTCAAATCACTCTGGGTGCTGATATTTTCGGGCAACTTCTCAGGGGAAATGTCGAAAATCTAGACGATCATTTATTTGCAATATAAACTCGTCTAGGGTGGTCTGTGATGGGACAACTACAACTACAGTGGAATGTCAAAAATGAAATGATTTTTTCAAGAGTTTCTAATTGTTCATTGATGAATTATGGACCTTAGATAGATATTCTAGGAATAAAAGATCCAGCTGAATTGAAGACTAAGGATATCATTGATGAACAAACAATAGCACATTTCAATAATACTATTAGGATCAATGAGGACAACAGGTACAAAGTTCATCTTCCATGGATCCCAGAGCATTCTCCACTTCAGTCAAACAAAAATACATCAGAACTACGTCTCCTCTCGACTACCAAGAAGTTATTACTGGAATTGGAGAAATTGGGCACCAAAAAAAAATAAATGACAATCTGGAAGGAAATGGTGAGAATATTTTTCATTATATATCCCATCATGCTGTTATTAAGGAATCAACAAGATCAACTAAAATTCGGCCACTTTTTGATGCTTTGGCAAAATATTTCAATGGGAATTCGTTGAATAGGTAATAATTGATTACAGTCTGTACCTTGTACCAGAAAATTTTAAAGAAACTGCCGAAATATTGAGAGAGTCGTTTTATATCGACAATTGTATAGCAAGTTCCAATAATCAATTTGAATTGAAAAAAATGTATAACTGAATCGAAAGAAATAATGTCACTAGGAAATTTCAACTTGAGGGATTGGATGGGTAGGTAATATAGAAAATGTCTGCGATGAACTTGTTGATGATAATAGAACTTCCTTATTGGGGATGGTATGGAATATCAAAGACGACCTGATAGCGCAAAAGGTTTTCGATCCTATTGGATTCACATGCCCATTCACTTCGATTCCAAAGCTTTTATTACAAGAAACGTGGAAATTGAAAACTGGATGGGACAAAGAGTATTACGTGATTTTTTGCATTCCTTAGTAAGCGATAGAACAGTTTAGGTGTATGCACCGACTAATATCTCAGTGGGGTCGGGTGTGGGTCTTATTATTAGACAAGAAAATGCATGGGAGGGCGCCAAGTGATTTGCAACAAAATAAAACATACACTTCTCTTAAAGATGAAATCACTAAATCCACCTGGCTTACTTGTCAAACTATATAGATTAGTTGAAATTAGAAAAATAGGTGAATGGTATAAATAGGTCTCTATAATAGCAGTAAAGATATTATAATACAAATTATGCAAAATTTAGAGGTAAAGGCAAAGAAAAACTCTTGAGAGAACTGTTCGAGAACAAAGTCTATAAAAATCAGTCATCCTTTTAGAACGCACCAATTTATTAGTAAAACTAAATTAAGCTAAACAAGTATATATAAATACTCGGCTTGTTTATGCACAGCAAGAGTTTTCCTTATGTGCGCGTACTAGGCAAAAAAAAATAAAGAAACATCCACTGGGTGGTACTTATCACTATGCGCTTAAGTGAATCCAATCGGGACGTTCCACGAGACAGGGTAAGACTTCATCAGTTCCCAGATCAGCTGTCTTATGTTGGATCAAAGATAAATAGATTTCGTCCTTCCTTCTTCCTAGTTCCAAAAAAATAATACGTAACCCTTTTATTACCTTAAAGACTACCACAAACTCCAATTTCTCGGGAGAATTGGAAAAACGGTATCATAAAACGCCTAAAAAGCCATCGAAAGTGTTATGGTCTGATCGAGACAAAACGTGGTATAAAACGGAATATAATTTTCGACAACTCACCTCATGTGCAAAAACCCGACGCAACCCTGAGACGTTGAATACTAATATACCATAGATTTATCATCTATTATTAAAGAAAATCCGGCGATATCCAGAAAATACTATATAACACAAAATGAAATTCGCCGATTTGGAATGAAATACTGAAGAATCCGTTAATAACAATACGTAATAGGCACTATTCATCCAATCTAACAAAAATCTACACAAATACTGTTCTGTCGACCGAAACATACGATACGGTTTTTTCTCCGTAGCTACTTTTTTCCATAAGATTCGCAAACTCAGGCCACAATTGAAATCGTTCATTTTAACCGGAGAACGAAATAAATAAATTGGCATATGTGAGGATATTTAATATACCTACAGAGTGTTCTTTCGCGGCGCTACCTAGTATTTTAAAACCTTTTGGAATTTTATTAAAAATACGGTACAAGAGTTACCAGAAATCATCATCATTCGATTTGATAGTTGGTTGAAAAATACTCATTTTTTAAGTTTATATTGTATTCCTAGAACACTCTGAATAAACGGATACTTTCAAATGGAAAATGAAAGTTTTTCTGTGCGATTATTACAAGTCAAGTCCAGAATTGCGCTTAGAAATATAACAATTCCATGATTAGAATATCTAGTTTGTATTATTGGAGTTAGATTAGGGCAAGCAGTTATGAAAGTTTGTGAATTTAGAACTTTATCATCATTTTATTGGACCGACTTTATATGGTAGCGTTGGCATGGATAAGAAATAAAGGTACTTGGAAAACATTTGTCAATAATCGAATTGAAGAAA